AATTATTAAATTGTTCTTATCTCAACCTAGGGGTCTCCTTACCCTTACGCCTCCAATTCTCTCACCTATTCACTGGGGGAAGCAGAAGAGTGAGTGAGTAGCTGTATTTGGCCGTTAGCCAAGTGCTAGCAAAGTGAAACCACTACAGTCTCACCTACTTCCACTGTTTAATTATATGTATCAACATTTAAATTCTTTTTTTCTAAGTAAAAGTTTGCAATTTCTTCTTAGTGTCTGTGTCTATACGACAGAAGGGATACTACATACTAAATAAGAAAGAAGTTCAATCAATACTTTCTTTCATAATAGAGAAGTCCAAGACTGCATCCAGAAACATTTTTTCCCCAGCACCTGCTCCATATATGTTTATGTGATTTCATAAGAGACCAAACATAACTTTACATTTTAATTTTGAAATAAAAATAATCTTTAATTTCTAAAGAATAAGAATTTTCAGCACATACACTACAACCTTGAGTTTTAGTACATGCAGAGATAAAGGGTGATGGGAAGATGGATAAACTGGTTCATCAACAATGTTAGTTTCATTTCCAGAAAATGTGGAAAGTTTTGTTTACCATAAAGGCAAAGAAGACTATTAAGACAGCACTGAAAAAATGGTTCACAGTTTTTGAGGAGGTAAAATTCTATACACCTAATTAATTGTCTCTCTACAGGCTTTGAACTTGGATGTAGGGAAGGTGAAATTCATCTTCACTTAACTTTATCAGTCTAGCTGCTAGGGTATCTAGTCTAAATAGATCACCTATATCCATCCCCCCATTGTAACTCAAAGCGTAGCTTACACTTGTACAAGTAAATTCTCACAATAGTGCAAAAAGCCTGTCCACCTTAAGTCTCTGAGATAACGGGCAAGGACACCACAGTCAATGCAGTGTTTGGTCAGTGTCATAGCTTTGTGTGTACAGTGAAGTTAAGCTGTGTACACTTTAAAACATGTTCAGTTCCTACATTCAAGGCAACCCAGGAAGAGTTCCTGCAAAGGAGCTACCAGCAATCTTTTTGGCATTTAGACCCTCATGTTACACCTAGACAAAATTCTCAATTGGAAAAAAATGATACATGATAGCAACCATTGCTTATGGACTCTCTATAGACCACAGAATCTGATTAAATTCTACTTAAGCTGATGGGTTAATCAAAATCCATCCTCCACTATAATGTGATTAGTCTTCTTTTACAATAATATGTTAATATTAATTAGAACATATAACTTAAAGAGTTACCAAAATACTAACTGTCAGCAATAGTTGTGACTTCCTCATTCCGATACAACCAGCTGACAACGGGAGCAGGTGAACTAGTAACATGGCAAACAACTTCTGCATCTTCTCCCTGCCTGAACTCTTGTTGAGATATTATGTCTCGAAAAGTTAGTTTTTCTGAAAAGGAAGAAAACAGAGTAAAATAAAAGATAAAGCAACTTCCAGTTCACTTAGCATTAAAATTACATGTGACATCAAATCAGATTACTATTAGCATTACTATTAGGCCTTCTCATTGTGATAATACAGAATTATTACCATAATATAATTTTTTCAGGTACTACTCAAATGGACCTAGACACAAGACTTCCACTCTGTCTGTAGGAATTATTTTTCAATAAAGTTGCATTATGAAAATAATTGTTTTACTTATATAAACTAAGTATCTTTTATAAATATATTTTTCATTGTTTTCAATGTTCCAGAGCCCAGCTTTAAAACTCTAGTGTTTTAGAGGTCTATATATGCAGGTTAACAATCTGTTTACTCTCTTGTGTGTTTTATTCCTCATGATCTTATTATTGATTTAAAGCCTCATATTTTTATTCCATGAAAACTTCCATCAAATCCACCAAAATTATTTGGAAAAGCCTTATTAAAAATGTGGATCTTTAGCTTCACTGACAGTGAAAACCATCAGCAAAGTAAAACATAGAATCTTAAATGCCAGTGGGAAACTATATGCAAAAACTTAGTAAGTCATAAGAATTTGTAGCATTTTTTTTGACGAGATAAGATTCTTTTAGGTCTGATGAGGTTTCAAATTATTCCAACCCCAAATAACCAAACTTGATATTTAATTTTATTGGTGGGATGAGTAAGTTCAATATTATAAAAATTTAGTGTTAGAAGTCCAGGATGGCATTAATCCATGATTAATACAAGATCTAATGCAGAAATCAATTGCCTGACAAAAAAATTCCAGAAGATTTCTTGCACACAGAAGAAAAGAATTGATCTATGTTCTCTAGGATCAAAGGCTGTCAATTACATTTCCAAGGACGCTTTGGAGGATGTAAGTCAGAGATGCAACTCCACCTCCACTTTTTCGTACTGATACAAGTGCAGGCTCAAATAATTCACATCGTTCCCACAGCAGAGGTAGCACACTTTTATTATATACAGCTCTTGGATACTTTTACAATGTATTTGTATATTACAAATACATTGTAAGTATTTTAAGTATTTGTAAGTATTGTTTATATTGTAAGTATTGTTTATATTTGTAAGTATTTGTTTATATTGTGAGTATCGTTCGAAGTATTTGACCATATGTAAAAGAAAAACCCTCATAAACATCAGTGACCACTGAACCAGACCCTAGGAGTACATTGTATCCTGCTTTTTCCTTATAATACATCACAAATACAAATAATGAAACTTTTATGTCAGTTCTCACCAACCTTCACATTTCTTGTATAGGTCTTTGGGTTTATCTAACTCAAATTCTTAAAATTACCACAAGCAAACACTTCAACAGATTTCAATCTTGCTCAGCAGCCTTCTAACAGAGTGACTGGCAGATTTAAGCATACAAATGAATTCTACAAAACTTGAAATCTTTTGAATTGCCAGCTTTCAAGCCATCATGTAATCGCTTGTAACTGCTATCACTATTTTAATGGTTGTTTTATCAATGGATTTTTTTTAAAAAATTGTATGTCTGTTGTTATCTGTGTTATCTGTACCTTTCAGAAGCAGCACTTTGTGATTCTGCTCTGTACTTTCTGTCTCATTGCAATTCTTTAGTGCTCAGTGCATCCATAAACAATTATTTTATGAATATTTAAAAACTATTCTCCAATGAAATTATAGAATAACTCAGCTGAAAGGTGTTGGCAAATGTCCCACCCTTTCACCAACAAAGACCTTACCTTAAATCTTCACAATGTACTTCTTTAATGTATTGCTTTAAAACATTTTTGGTTGATCTAAATAATATAGTACAATGTAAAGTTATTTACCAAAAACCCTCTCAGATAATATCTTACCACAACAGAATACATTTACTTTTCAAATATACTTTTCAATTAGTTGTTTCCACTTGAAATGCATTTTGGTTGCTTACCACATTAATTTTCAATGTTTTATGGCAAAAATTCCATGAGGCTAAGAACAGGAAAAAACTGACATAAAAATAACTATTTAAGTGTAAACTCCACTTTTTAAATGGCATATATTGCATTTCCTGCACTTTTATTTATGCACGTATGTGTAATAGGTTGTAGATGTATTTGTGATAAGAACTAGGTTGATATAACTTTTTTTTCATATTTCCTTTTTCTCATATTTCCCTTTTTTCCATGAGGGGCATACAGTACACTCTCATAAGATGGCATTCTAAGATCCAAAGGAAAAGTGATCTACAATATTACAAAATAGCCACCCATTTCATTTAAGTCTTCAACATAATATCTATTAACTAAAATGCAGAAGATGCAATGATTTGGAAGATAAGGTTCAGAGCCTCGGAATATATTTTGATGGGCTTTACTTTCTCAGCAGGAGTGGCTTTTAAAATATAGTCCTTCATTTGTTAATTGATAATATTTTACTTACAATAATATTTTACTTACGATAAATTTCCAAAACAACAGTAGCTTCTTGAGTTTGTCCTTTAGCATCTGTTGCTTGACATCGATATATACCAGCATCTTCTATATCTGCATTATAAATGGTTAGACGTGCTCGAACACCTTCTTTCTGAACAACCACTCTTTGACTAGAAACAATCTTCTCTCCTTGTGGATTGTACCAATCTATGTTGTCAGGCTCACCAATGGCTACAAACAAAACAAAAAACAATCCAATATTAGAAGTTCAGGTAGACATTATGCAACACATATGCCTACCCAATGTATAATGTCTATACAATGTCAGAGAATTGCTAATTTATGAGTTGTGAGAAAGTCTGATAAGCAAGGCAAAACTGTAGGCATATGTATGATTGTTGAGACAGGATAACTAGTAGCTCAAGGATTAAAGAAGGAAACAAATAAACACAGAAAGGTATAAAGTCTTAAAGGAAAGAAACAGGTTGTTCAGCAGTCACTGGATCAACAGCTCAAGTCATCAGTCAGTTGGGCTGTCAGTGTAGTGAGGCCATGTATCGTCAATGGCAGATGGCAACTCAGCAACATCAAGGATCTACATCAGGCAGCTGCAAATGCAAACTTTCCCATCGGATATCTGCTTCACGAGAAAAAGCTCTTTGGGTGTTTCATGAGGTTGGAGAGGATACTAAAACATAGCCTAGTAGCTTATTTAACTCCTTAGTTTAGACAAGTTAAAGTATTTTAACTAAAGAAGCAACCTAGCAGATATAAATTACCTGTACTGATATAGATGATTCAAACTGAGAGATTCAGAGTCTGAAATGAGTAGTTTCTAGACTGGAAACATTAAGCTAATGAAGATCTACTTTTTTTTCACAATTCTCACAGGTCAATGTGAATATACAGAAATAAACTAATTTAGGTTAATATTGTGAATCAATTAATCCCATTTCAAATTATTTAAAAGGTTGAAAACATAAAAAAAATATATGCCTACAAGTAAAATACATACCTGTGCATGTGAAGAACTTGGATTCACCCACACTGAGCTCAACTTTGCTAAGGGAAATTGTAACTTGAAGTAGAGCTGAAAAATATAATGTAGGTTGTGAATACATTTTGGCATTTATCAGATTAAATATTATATTTTCAAATTTTCTATCTTGCCATTCTATACTAGAGAACCTGTTCAACAGATCTGGAAAGTTTCAGCTAAGCATTGTGTCTTTTGAACTGGAGTATATAGAGAAGTGGGGAAAATAAACAAAATACAGAAAAGCTGTTACACAAAAGGTAACAGCCTCACATCCTAAAACCAAGGACAAAATTAAAGAAAAAAGAAAAAGGGATAAAAATACACATGAACAAAACGTCAAAAACTCAGTGAGACTAAGGTGACTGAGAACACTCAGCACAGACTGACCAAAGGTAAATCACACCTGACCAACCCTACTGTCTTCTGGGATAAAATGATTAGTTCCGTGGATGAGGGAAGAACAGTGGGTGGCAGTTACCTTGACTCTACTAAGGCTTTTGACCCACCTCTCACAATATTCTCGTATTCAAGTGTACTGGGTATAAACATCAAGATTTTAGTATCTGGGGAAGGTTGCAAGGGTGACTTCTATGGGAGGGAGGTCAGGGTTTGCACTGTGACACACACAGCCAATTCCAACTGACTCCACAACAGACCCACTGCAGGACATAGCTGCACCAGTTTGAGGAGTTTGTGGCTCCTCTTAGAACACCAAGATGGAGGAACAAGAAGAGCAGAGCAATAGGAGGAGCTCCATGGCTCAGTTGGTAACACCCCTGAAGGGACTGTGGCCCATGCGTAAGCCCATGTCAGAGCAAGAACACCTCCAAAAGGACTGTAGCCTGTGGATAACCTACAATGTAACAGAGGAAATGAGTTAGGCAGAAGGAGCAGTGGAAGAAAAGAGTGTGAAAGAAGGAATGGCAGAAAGAAAGCACTATGTCCTCACCCCAACCTCCTGTATCACCCATCACCTCATTGAAAGGACTGAGTGTAACCTGCACTGATGGTGATAACAAGGTGAGTGGAGACTAGGAATGGGGAAGAGCTATCTGGAGCCTGGGAAAGGGGAAGAAAGGTGTTATCCCTAAGTATTTAAGTATTAGTCTTCTTTGTTTCTGAAAACTCAAATCAGTAACTAAACGTTTATGTTAATAGTAGATAAATAAAGTTAAACTTCCCAACTAGAGTCTGTTTTGCCCACAACAGAAATTTGCCAGTGAATTTCCTGTCTTTACCTTGGTCCATGCGTTTTCTCACTCTCAGTCTTCCTGTTTTCATCCGTCTTGCTGCGGGTAGGGGGAGTGAGCAAGTGGCTGTGTGGGTGCTTGGCCCAACCCACCACATAAAGTTAGGGTGTTACAGTCTGGATGAGTGGGCAGCTAGGCTTGTAAAAAACTAGTTGGATGGTTAAGCTTAGAGGGCAGTGGCTAATGGGTCATATTCTACCCAGACACCAGTAACAAGTAGAGTATTCTAGGGTTCTGTCCTGGGATCTGTCTTATTTAACATGTTTATCAATTATAGGAAGGAGGTCATTGCCCTAGAGAGACTGGAAGAATGTATCCACAGGACCACCATAAGAATAAATGCTAATTATCCGTAAGGATAAACGCGAAGTTCTGCACCTGGGAGGGAACAACCTGTTTGGAGTCATACAGCCTGTGAGGAGAGGCTTAGAGGAGCTATGCTTCTTCAGTCTGCAGCAGAGAGAGCTGCAGGGGAACTCAACAGCCACTTGGCTATACCTATGTGGAGTTCATCAAGACGATGAAACCAGGGTCTCCACAGTGGTGTATGGCAGATTGACAAAAGACGAGTTGAAATGAGAGAGGTTCATGCTAAGCATAAGGGAAAACTTTTTCATGATGCATGTAGTAAGAGAGTGGAGGAGATTGCCCAGAAAGATTAAGTTTTTTCAGTTTTCAAGAGCTCACAGGATAAAACTTTGAATAATCTGGTCTGTCTTTGTAACTGACCATGTTTTGAGCAGGAGGTTAGACTACAGACCTTCTTAAGTTCCTTCTGCCTTGAACTATCTTATGGTCCCATGACCCTGTAAATAACCGACCCAATACAGCCAGTATTATTGGTAAAGGGCTTATTCATACAAAATAACTATGTACTCTTCAGCAATCACAATTCTAGCATTATCATCATCCTAAGTAGCTGTAGCTCTTTAACATCAATTATCTTACAAAACTGGACAATAAATGTCCACGACTCAGTAACAAGGATAAAGAGTCACATTAATTTCAAGCTCTAATCAAGACAAAAAAAGTCAGACAAAATAAGGAATAATTTTTTAGAGAAGAAAATAATTGAAATTCTCCTTCAGTATTATACATAGTAGAGAACTGTGATGTATCTGAAGTTTTTTTAAAAAAGGTATTGTTTCAAGAATCTGGGGTTTTCAGTCTTTAAACTTAATAATTATGGTCTATTCTGTGTATGTGGAAATATTTCAAATTTTTGAAAACTGCAACACAAATTACAGTGTATACTGAATGTCCCAAACTTAGTGGATTCCTTTTGTATAATTGGTACACGAAAGTCCAACAGGACAAACATCTTTAGAGGTGGGGAGTATTACACTCCAAACTAACTTTTTGGTGTGACAAATTTTATCCATGAGTATTGTAGGACTTTAAAACCTGCTAAAACCCATGACTGTTTGGTTCTGTTGATAGTAAAAATTAAAGAAAAGATGAGCAAAGAAAAAGTAATTACCTAAGTAGTATTCCATATATATTAATGTGACAATTGTTACACTTAGGAGATAGCTATTAACTGATGCAATTCCATGTAATCAGCCTGGATAAGCAAAAATTAGATCAGATTTGAACTTTTTGTTCAAATCATATCAAAAGCAAAAAACAAAAAAAGGCAAAGAAAACTGAAGATTATCTCAATATCAGTCTGCCAGAATTGGGTATTTACACCTGTACGGTAACATTTTTCATGAAATGTCCTGAATTGTGGATAATTTTCCTGAGGAGATCATCACAAAGTAACTTTTTTTTTTTTTTTAATTAGTATTAATATTTTATACCTTGCTCTCCATAAGAAAATAACTAAGAAGAAAACCCACAAAAAGTCCCCAAGGACACATCCTACTTCAGGCAAAATTAAATATCTGTGTGTACTCTGCTAACACCAAAATTTTTCAGTTCATAAAGACTGTCAGGAAGAGGGAATGACTACCTAAAGGTCAGGAAGAAACTGAAGTGGACTATAAAAATGTTGAATTTAGTACCAGAGCAGGTACTAGCATCATTGTCATTGTAATAGCAAGGAATACAGTGAAGGCTCCTTTAGGACACACACATAGCACTGATAGAGAAATCGACTAATGTGCTCATTCTAATCTATGGTCTTTATGTCCATGGTACCAAAAGCAAAGGACAAGCTTAAGTGAAGGAAAGGTAATGAGTTTCAGACAAAGTTTTATTTTTTGTTGTAATAAGCATCAAGGAGTAATAAATCATCCAGGAGGCTACTAAAAGCCTCACTTCTTTATTTACCTGTCAGGGTAAGCTTTATTTTAACCTCAGGACATATAACTGCTAGTTGTAAACCAAGGTACTAATAAATACAGAAGTTGAGAATTTCAAGAGATTAGAGCCCGGACATTTTTTTCAAATCACAGACTCACTTTTTAGGTCTTAAGCCACCATCTGTCTGGTACTGTATTATTTTTATAGAGTTTGTAGCCTTATAGAGTTGCCTCAGAAATACAGACATTAACGTTTCAGCAGTATTGCTTCAAAGACAGTTTCATTGCTTAGTTACAATAACTGTAATATCTGACGTTGAACTATGCAAACACAATAGATTAAGTAAAAAATGTCTGGTAGAATGGTAGGAACTGCATGGTGAGAGGTGAAAAGCAAAGTTAGAGAATATTTTTCCTTCATCAATGAAATAGATATTTGAGACTGTAACACACTTTTGGAAAGGGACGAACTCAATTTTATATTCTTAGCATAACTGCAATTACAAATTCCATGGAGACATCTGAATATAAAAGGGAATAATATTTTCTACATATGGTAGTTTAATATTTACAAAATAGAAAAATATAAGACCATCTGTCCAATTTTTCCAGACTCATCATTTTTCTAGGTCTGCTTCATGTAAATAGAAATAAAATTGCTTTATGCAAACTAGAATGAAAAATATTGCCCAAGTGATTAATCTAGTAATCTGTGCTTATTAGGTAGTCAGGCAAATAGTCCAATACTAAGCTAGGAGAAGGTTCACTCATCACTTACTGAAAGTAAAATACTGCAAAGAGACAATACATCTAGAAAGTTTTACATTACTTTCAAATTTATTTCAAGAACTACATAGATTCATTAGGTTATTAAAAGCTCTGATGAAAATGGCATGCAATGTACATACAATTCAATTTATCGCTGTACACTAACAGCTAATGGATTAATATAAAAGGGAACTGTTTGTATCAGCCTGGTCTGAACATCTTCGAATATGCAGGTGAATGCTTATTTTATCAGAAGATGAAGATGTTCCAAAAATTCAAGTCAGTAGAGGCTGTGTCTACCTATGTTAAACCAAGCCCAGAAATGAATTCAGTAGCTTCTTGATAGATATGACAAAATACTGCCTCTTCCCATGTTTCCAAGGATATTATCTATCTAGCTATAACTTAAAAAACCAAAAAAAAGAAAAAAAAAAAGAAAAAAAAGCAAGATCTAGATCTCCTCTTCAGATAGAACACTATGGAGTGTAATGCTACTGCAGTACAGCTGTTTGGGCAAAAAAGTGAAGTCAGCCGGGTCTTCACTCAGTCTTCAGTCCATGTGCAAAAAAAAAAAAATCATTATTAGCACTAGGTGATATGACCAATCTCTTCCCTTTTCCTTTTTGATCTTAGTAATTATAAAAAGAATTATTATCAGCTGTACTACACTAAGAGGATTCTGATGAATTATTCCTTAATGGGTTTAAAAATCACCTAGGAAGACAAGTAAGAAGAATAATAAGAGATCCATTTGTTCTGTTAAATATGAAGACAGATGACTCTATTCGTAAAACCTAATATTTAGTAGACTAATTCAT